TACAAGGCAAGCGTATTAATTTATCGCTAGTGAATCCAGGACACGCCCCAGCAGCAACCACGTTAAACCTCAATTAGACTACAGCCACCAGCCGAGGTTACATGAATGCGACTTAGTCGCATCGAAACCAGTTGTTGCATTCAATGTGGTAATGTAAACGGCATAATGCGGTAGGAATGGGCATCGCATTCAAGTCGCTAGACGAAGATGCAACGACAAGGCGAAGGCGAAATTTTTCAGCCCATGTAAGCGAAGGTCGGATCGCATTTTGGAACAGGGAGGATTATGTGAAAGCGCTCGATGCACAAGCGAGTGAACGAACAGCTAAGAACATGGCGGCGGTCTACCTCGTCGGCGACGGCGGCCAGCGGATAATTCAGAACACCTATAGGCGTTGGTTGCAGGCGATTTCTTGCAGAAAACCAAATAAGAAGGTGGTGCAAATGTAAAAAAATAACTCGTAAAAAAACAAAGTTTCTCTGGTGTCGTGTTAACATTGAGTTTTCCATGGCTTAAAGAAAGTGGGAAAGCCGGTAGACGTCACTGTGGTCTTCTCTTCCCCGAACAAGTTGTCTAAGTTCTGCAGAAATGTCAATCAGTGTACCGGAAGGCTTCAGGAGTGTACAAAGAAGCATCAATATCGGTTTGCTGATTGTAAAAAAAAATCGTTTATTCCATTCCGCTATCTTGAGGTAAACAATACGTAGGCCAGACGGCAGATGCCTCAATGATAGGTTGAGAGAATATTGTTACAATCTAAACACGGTAGTTAATATCAGGACACTTGGGCATTCATTGTCGTGAGCGTGGGTGTGATGCGGTATTTAAAATTTCACTGTCATTGGAGGAAGTGCCAATGCCCTCACCAGAGAGATTATGAAGGCAGAAACGATAACAAGCCTGGGGGAAGAGTGTCTCAGCGCCCAGTCGGTTCTTTTGTCGGCAAATAATTAGATTTTTCTTTCATTAATACAGCATGCGCGATGAGAGTGTGGGTTTCAGTGGGAAGTCATTGGCTCCGTGCGCTTCCTTTTGTTTGGTCGTGTATATAGGCTGCGCTTTGATGATTAAAACTTCATTTGTAAGTTCAGTGTTTGTTTGTCTCCTTTCTTTACGCGCCGTCTGTTTCGCTGTGCGTTTTAAATATCCATGCCTTATCAACACGTCCTAGCAACACATTCAAGCTTCCTTCCTGAACAATTGTATCCTGCGTGGTCGCTCGTAGTTTCCACCCGAGAAGAAACACGTGCTTTTATTGCCATTATAGGTGAGCGTAATATAACTAAGCTGCTCGGTGAGGGCGGCCCCCGCCCGAGCCTCGCGAATTACGACTTGCGCGTCCGAGGAAGCCCTTGCATGCTTCTGCGCAATCACGAACGACGCCGAGAGCTCCGAGCACTTCATGTTATCGCAGAACGTACAGCTCCTAAGTCGGTGATGTTTCTACCTTCGCCGGAGCCTTTCTGCCTCGGGGTCTGGTCCCGGTTGGCAAGGATTGGCAAGGCGAAGCGCAGTGACGTCCTCAAAGTGGTTGGAAACGATCTCGCTCGTCAGGACGTGTGCACGCACGTCGCCCCTGTCCCAAAGTGACCACGCGGCCCGACTCGGAGCCCGAAGCGTCTCGCAACCTCTTGCAGAGCATGGAAGACAGCTGGTACGATCTTTACCCTTGGCAAAAGCGTCGAAAAGGCTTCCGCGCGCGAAGCACCGGATAACGTGATCATGTGATGCGGCTGGTGCCGGAAGCGCTGCTTTAATTTTGAGGTTTGACACGGCGTGGTGTCGCATTCGCGTAGGAATTCATGCGCATTGATGTAAATGTTGGGCGCGTCGGCTACATTCGAAGGACGATTAGAGTCGATGCGCTGAAGTCGCATTCATGTAAACGCGGCTACTGACTGGATGACAACGGCAGGAAGAAACTTCAGTCGTGGTGACTTCGCTGAGCGCTTCCTAGCTTCAAAAACGCTTGGCATAAAGTGAAGCGCGTGTTTGGGGTCGGACGTCCGAAAGGCACGTCCAGCCGGGCTCATTCTGTCACTCACTAAAGGTGGTATTGATCCAGGAGGGTAGTGCAAAGGGGTACAGTCCACTAAGCTCTTATATAAAATGATCGAGCGGTGATGGGAACGGCGGTCAGTGCTGTCTAACGTCAAAACCGGGAACGAAGCACGTGAGAAAAACAGCAGGAGTGCTGGATGATTGCGATAATAGCAGGCGCCAAGTGGTTATTTCGACTGCTACGTACGCGTAACGGTATCCTGCACATTACCAGCACTTAACCTGCACCGCCGAAAAACTAAGTGCACATCCCCATACAAGCTCGGCACCCAACCGCGTGCCACACAGGCTTACCGTGCGGCAAGTCACTGCGCGAACTGAAATGCAGACGCCAGCAACCCCACCACTAGAGCCCTGCGCGGTTGAAAGTTTGGGCATCCGCATACGAACCGCATCCATGTGCTTTGTATTCGCATTTGAACCGCATCTACAAACTTTCAAGCCGCACCCGTCTCACAATCCGCGCATTTATGTTAGGTTTTAAAATCGAGCGTAAATAAAAAATAAAAAGTAACACCTGGATGTTGCAGTATAAGCTTTTGCTTCTCTTTGTACAATAATAAAAATAAAACACATTCAAGCCAAGAATACAGTGAAAGTTATTTTATAGTATTCTGTATTGTTCTACTTCTATTATTAGCGCGGATTCCTTCAAAAACACTTCGCGTTGGTGGAAAGATGGTCGCAGTTGTGAGATCGTTTCAGGAGTCTGCGATACTGTCGAGAAGATCCGCTCGAAAGGAAGAAAATTTTAATATATGTTTTGTTTCGCTTTGTAGCAGCCACTTTGAAAAAACACGCATTTTTTGATTTCGAAAATATACTAAGCACGTTTCTGTTATTTTATTTGAATCCAGCAATAAAAACGTGGGAGGAGAAATGCGGTCCCTCGCACCAGCGAAGTATTCGTATATACGTGGTATGACGTGCTTACACCGCATGAAAAATATCCAAATATTCAATAATCACAACACTTATAGGTTTGTTTAAACATGAAAACAAAACTGTGCGCTCCGAAAACATGCTTAGCAACAACTTGCTCACTATTGAGAAGAAAAAAACGCACACACACGTTGCGGTTTACCTGTTGAGGTTGCCGTGTATAAGCATAATATCGTCAACAATGGACATATTTATACTGATCCGCCACTCTTGATTTACAAGGCCCGCTACTGAGAGGTCTCTCTCCGCTTGTGCACTTGATGCTGGGGTAGAATGCACGAATTTCCCTACCAAAGTAAAGTACGGGAACTTGAACGTTACTTTCATGGTGAGACTTCTACGTTCTTGTGGCTTTTGCGTGTTACGTTGTTTTTTTTATGTTCGAAGAACATTTTCCGTTCTCACCCTGCCAAGCAAGAAGACGGTTTCTCAGGCGATTGTTGTCCCTTCATTTCTTATTTTTTTTCTATGGACAGCCTTTTTGGTAAGATAAATCATCTGAAGCGATCTTCGGTGAAACTCAGGTATTTCTTAGCGAAAAAAAAATTTTCAATTTGATTGGCACCTTTTTTTTTATGAGAGTATTTCGCTCCCGCAAGACATTCGATTATGCACTTCATATTATCATTCACCCATTAACTCACTTTACTCTTTACCCTATTTTTCTCCCTTTACCTCTTTCTTTTGACAAAGCGGAGAACAAGACATGACAGAGTCGCACACGCCCCCTGCGCCCAGCTCTCTGCCGAGCAAGAAACGCGTTCCAACAGATACCCGACGTCGAGTCTCCAACCAGCAGAAGGGCTCGGATCTCCTCGTTAAACGTCATTAAAGAAAGGGGTGGGCGTATCCGACGGAAACTCAAATGCTCGTCTTTCTCTCTCCCAAAGGGGAGAGGTCAAAAAATACGTCTGGAGGCTATCTTTTCCAACAAGAGTCTAGGAAGCACTGAAAAGACAAATTCAGTCTCTTACACGCGCAGGCTTTCATTAGTTAGTCTTCCCAGCTCAGAGAAACAAAAGAGAAAGCCTACCTATTGAGCGATAACCTCCCAAAAGACTCACCGAATCAGAGTCACTTATGGATGTAGTCTATTTGGCACCGTTGAAGACTTGCGCCCGTGAAAGTCAAACTGAAAAGGTTACTGAGCCTTGGTGTCGCTTAACAATGCACGTTGCGGTAAGTGCCTGAGATTAGACAATCTACAGAGGCAGCCCGACTTGTGACTATATGGTCTACGTGTATTAACGCTTTGCTTGTGCGATAAAAACATCACTAGTGTAATTAGCGCTATCTGACAAATGAATGTGTATGCTATAAGAGCGTTGAGAAGGAAAATTGAGAACTATCCAGGTGAGACATGCGCACTGCACAGTTTGCGGGATTGCAACAGCGCCTTTTACCGCTGAAGTGTGTACTGGGGTTCGCACATATTACTGCTCTACAATTTTTAATTATGTCTTTTCAGTTGAAATCGAGAAGCAGAAAAAACAGACAAATTCTTGAAGGTGACAACTTTGTCCCGGTCTGTACAAAGTGCGACTCAAACGGCACGAACAAGCGCTCTTCAGTCTTACTATCTTCGTTTTTCTTTTCCTTTTTCAAAGGAGCGGCTGTCACCACACTAGAAGTGTGATGGAATATTTTCTAACTTTCAACCGAAGCAGTAAAAGTGGATTCGGGGAACAAGTCCAAGCGGTTCATTTCTTAGTCGTCAATGCGGTAAAAAAATGCACCGCTTGCGACACCCACTGCGACAAATGCGACGCAAAGCGCCGATGTCGTGCTCGAGCTAACGGCTTCCCGCGGTGAAGGGACGCTTGACTTGATTTCTGAAACAACCTGGCTGAACACTAAGAAGTGATGCAATGGGTAATCTTGGGCCACAATTAGCCGAGTTGCCTCCTTGTATTTCCAATGTTAGCATAAGCTTTCTTCCACCACCGACCCGTATTAATTAAACAAAACGACTGAGCTTGGAACAAACGAATACTCACTCATTACGTCCAGAGCAACCTGTCTCTTGGCGCTGTTTCCGTCCGGATCTTGGGCAACGCAGCTGTACCATCCACTGTCTACGGACCGCTGCACATCCGAGATGACGAGGGTGCCGTTGGGAAACGTCCGCTGACGGTGATTCTGGGGCAGTGAGCGGCCATCTGCAGGAAAGCAACCATTGCGTGGAGGAAGTTCGTCTTTATTGCATCAGTATACGAGGCGCTAATGGAACCCGCGTAAACCCTGAGGCCTCTGAAGGCGGCGGTACAGTTCGCCATAAAGAGGAAGTTATATTGTTGACTGTAGGCCGCCTCGGTGATTCCGAGGCGAGAGTGCCGGCCTACGGATCCCCAGGTGGCAGGTTCGAATCCCGACCGAGGTGCCCGCAATATGACGGAGGCTTATTGCGGAGAAGGCGCCGTGTAACCGAGCTTTCGGTTGCACGTCAAAAGATCCCCAGGTGGTCAAAATTAATCCCCAGTCCTCCACTGGGGCGTGCCAGATGCCCGTCGTAGGTTTGGCACGTAAAACCCCCAAATTTGACTTTTGATATTGTTTACTGTCAGTTTCATATATTCAGAAAACCTTCGAAGGTACAGGTTATTCAACAGCTTCGCACAGTAGCAGTCCAACGTACGATAAAAAAAAAGTGTAGCGACTTGAGTTTACCGCTTTCAGAAGCGAAAGTAGCCGGCGATAAATACGACATTTCCTAGCCGCCATCCAGATATTTTTCGTGAGTCAGTAAAAATATTATCTATTTTGACGAATAAAAACGGTAGGCAGAATGTTGAAGTGAAAACCAGAGATTTGAATTCTGGCTTCTTTGCAGTATTTTTGCAGGCTCTAGCATTTTGTTCCCTAAATACGTGCGTGCCTATCTCCTGCTCATGTCGCAGTTGTCTGCAAATATAGATCCTGTTGAAAAATCCTCACTTTATAGTTTCAATAAACCTCCACAAGAGGAGGACATTTCTTTCCAACGCCCATTGGTAAAACAGATGTTCATCAGATATGTATTCGTTTGCTCCTATTGTTATTTGAAAAGAAAACGTTACGAGGCAAGCTTACTAGTTATTACTCGACAGACATACCTCCTTCTCGGGTTTTAGTATGCTATATTCTTATGCGCATAATTTACTCAATGCCACATGAAGGCGGGCCACTATTTCCCCACTAGGATGCCTAGACGTCCTTTTGTTAGGGTGATGACTTCCTTTGTAGTACCCGAAGCCGACAGCACGCGCGCACAAGGTAAAGACAAAGAAATCTTTAAAAACAAAATGTCGCCGTAGCACAGTCCACGCTAAGAGCGCGTGCAAAGAGATTCTCTTTCACGCGCTTCGGATCAAAGAAAAAAAATAGGCGTTCGGAACAAAATGAACAGACGTCATCAAAGTAAGCAAAGCACACGCGAAGGCACCCTAATCAACACGTACATCCATTAATCTCTACAGAGACGTTATGACTAGTAGACACAAAAGTAAGCTGCCCAAAAATCTGAGTAGTAATAAACCAGCAGGAGAAACTTCCGTAAGTTCACCGTTATGATGAGAAGACTAAAGACAATCTGTTCACACAGCACATACTTTGTCAGGGTGATATTTCCATATAAGAATATTTACTTGGAGCATTACCAAACAACTGTTTGCTTGTAGCGAAGTTTCGGGATTCTCGGCAGAGATAAATGTCTTAGTCGAGAAGTACGAAAAATGTGGGCCCCTGTCAGTGACAGCCACTCGAAGTAAGTCGGAATGAACTTTCCACTCGTGTCGGCAACACAAAAAGTGCAGAAAGCCGGTGTACCGCTACCGCAAAGTCGCAATTATACTTTCCCAAAACCTCGGAACGAGGCTGCCTTGGCAAACATTCTTGTAAACCAAAGTTAAAGAATCCGACGAGCGGCGTCGGCCTCCCAAGATGGGGCTCATTAGTCATTCGAAAGGAACTCGCAGCATTCAAAAAGGCCGTGATTGTGCCGAGACAAGCAACCGCTGACTTAGCGAAGGCGCGCGAATAATGCAGCTCGGCTGGGGACAACGCAATGCACCTTGAAAGCCTTTAAAGTCCCGTAAATATTAAAAGACATAAAAGCCTGTCGCACCTAAAAATTTTCGCCAGATAATATAAGCTGTATAAGCGGCTGCTGTAATAAAAAATATGTCAAAACTGTTACAAACATAAAGCGTCGTTTTTCTTTTTCTAAGGGTCAAAGATATAAAACGTAAGAAACTTTACATACTATCGATCGATTACTGACCCATTAGCTTAAAACAGACCGGAAGAATAAAACATAGGGCGAACCTCCCTCACCCTGAGCCCTAGAGCCATTTTAACCAACCTATATTACTATATATCTTCGTAATGTTCACATATCTGACGGATCGATTGCCAATAAACTCCGTGGCCACCCTGGATTGATAAGGGAATTAAAATAAAAATAATTTGACTTCAATATCACAAACGAAAACGGCAGGACTTTACATACAAGATTCGCAATTTCCTCTTATTTTTTTCAAGATAGTGTTAACCCCTCTTGGGTTCATTACAGGAGACGGTAAAATAAAAAAAGATACGGTAATAAACTGCAGCAGCAAAACAAGAACACCTCATAATAAAATCTTAAGCGGTCAAATTACTAACGGTACAAGGCAAGACGTATCAACATGTCAATACATATATATAATATCATTAACTACAAAAAGCAAAATTTAAATGAAATTTCTAAATGTGATAACAATTGATATGTATGCCAAAACGCTTTGATCAAACTAATTATAAACGAACTGTGCGAAAGGCAATCAATACTCAGCTCATTAGGTGATCAAAGTCACCAATTAGTTTTTGTTCTAGCGTTGCACGGCTCGTCGTAATGAGCCGTCAAGACTAAAAATAGATCTAAAAAAAATAACGAAAAACGCCTAAAAAATAAAACACAACTTATCAAGGCGTTTAGGTAGGAGATGAAAGATTTATCCTTCAAGAGACGAGAGTTAGTGCGCCTCTAAAGAAGGGATCAGAGAGGACCCAACCTAACTGCAAGTTAGCGAGCTTTAATACGCGTGATTTTAGATGCGCTTCACCTGTATCTTTCTTTCCTTTTCTTTCTTTCTCTTTCTCTCCCCCCCCCCCCCCCCCCCCCTTCTTACCTCCTTTGTTTCTAGCTTTGCCTTGTACTTAACCTTACGAGAATATTTGAGCTACATTATCGGAGCAAAAAAAACGCAACATTTTAAACAAAACTCGTTCAAGAAAGTTATGATTTGATCATAAGAGGAGGTCGCGGCTCGTTAGGTTACCGCCCCAAAAGAGTGTTTTTGCTCGCGACAAACGCTCGCGGCAGTGCAAAACCCTAATTTGGCTACACCGTTGTCTTTGTTGTTGTTATTTTTTAAACGCGAAGATGAGAGTCTGCCGTTTTGGCATGACAAAGGAATAGGACGCATCTATACTACCTATATAATTGGAAGAGGAGGCCATAAGAAAGCGAGCTCTCGAGTTTTCAGACTGCTGCTGCCATCATGGGGCTTAGCTCACTGCACAGAAGCAGCTCAAGTTTTACGCCTATTAAGATGCCACCATTTTCATTTGGAGCAAAGTTTACAATACATATTTTTTCTAAGCGCGTATAAACACCACAGTTCGTAACGAATATATCCTATGGAAATGTTAAAAGCCACTCGACTTCTGGAGATTCAGTGCAATTCCTTCAAACTTCCCTTAGTAACGTAAATATTGCTATTAAAAGTTTTAAGCTCTCGTACTTGCCCAAAACATGCCCCTTTATTATTTTTTGTATTTTTATTGGAAGTTAAATTATGACTCATTTTCTTCCGGAGAAACACCTTTTTTGTTATTTTATTTCAGTTTAAATGTGATAAAAAAACGTTTAGGCAATTGACCGGCTCACTGAAAAACGTCGCGATTCGGAATATATGTCGTTTAGCTCGTTTTGTGCGACGGCACCGGTCAGCAATGTATGCGATTATGCCTCACAGGGGCTTCGATGGATCAACGCAGCCGTCTGCGCTGGAAATCGACACTCTCAGCTATTCACCTTCAAAGTCTTTGAGCGAGAACACGTCGGCGACACGAAAGATACTATCAGGGATAGAGGACATACGAACAGATTAGCGCGTGGCTCGCGGTACAGCTGCGGCGCCTGGCAGTGAGCCTAGGAGCGAGGGTGTGTGGCCCACTCCGATGTGTATCCGCCCTTCGCTCGGCGCTTTCCAAGAATCGGCATTGCGCTTCTTAAAGGGGCACTGACACAGAAAAATCATTTGTTTCTTTTTATTATCTGAAACGATTGAAAACGATGCCGGGACATTACCCTCGAAAATTCGACACTTGAAATAGAGTATTTGTGAAGTAAAAAAACAATTTCTAAATGCCGAATTCGAAGTTCCCGCGCGATCTGCGCCGGTGCGTTGACGTCAAATATTGCGGAGCCCTAAGAGTCGACTTTCTTTCACGACTTCGTGCTGTTGCCATCGCGACCCGAAGCGAAAAGGAAAGGAGCGGGAAATTAAGGCGCCGGCGGACCGAGAAAAACCGGATTTATTTTGTGCGAGCGGTGCCGCCTGCCCAGGCGGCAAGTTTTCCGAGGGAGGATACAATTTAAGGAGGCGACATCACATCGGACTTTGATTTTGGGTATTTCAAAAAGAAGGGCCGTAGTGCGTTCGCAATTGCGTTAAAAACATATTTTGCAAGTGCCGTTATTAAATGTTCTAAAAATGTCGCCGACAACGCTTCTACATTTTATGACTTTTGACGTCACGAATCAAAAAAAGCGAGGAGGCAAGAGCGGGAGAGAAAAACGCAAAAAAAAAGCGGACCCGTCAAATTTTTTTTTTTTTTTTTTTTTTTTACGATGCGGGTTTTTTTTTTGCGTGTCTATGACTACAATTTGCATCGTTTTAGACAATAGAAAAAATACGACCCTTGAGGCGTCAGCGCCCCTCTAACCGCTCATTCACACTGGAAGCGCATCCGCGTTCGCAAAGTGGTTGCGAACGCGGTTGTATAAAGATCCAGTGCAATGTCACACGCACTAGATGTCATCGAGTGCGCGTGCAATTGCACTGGATCTTTATACAACCGCGTTCGCAACCACTTTGCGAACGCGGATCCGCTTCCAGTGTGAATGAGCAGTCACCGCTCGTTCACACTGGAAGCGGATCCGCGTTCGCAAAGCGGTTGCGAACGCGGTTGTATAAAGATCCAGTACAATGCCACACTCACTTGTTGTCATCGAGAGCGCGTGCAATTGCACTGGATCTTTATACAACCGCGTTCGCAACCACTTTGCGAACGCGGATCTGCTTCCAGTGTGAATGAGCAGTAAGGCCGGCTCTCACATGCAGCGAAGCGCTGATGTAGCGCTGCTCCCGTGTCGTCAGCTACTTATCGTCTGCCTTGAGCAAAAGTTTTGACGGTGCGGTACACAGCTGGTGAACTCTCCCGTGAGCCCGCGCTTAGTGCGAGGTCAACGCTATGCTTGTAGCGCGACGTCAGCGCTGCATGTGTGAACAGGCCTTTAGTGCGCTCAAAGCTATCACCGCTATCAATGCTCGCTCAGCGCTTGCGGCGCGAGGGAGCTCGCCGCTAGTAGCAGCGCTGGGCGCGCGCTCTAGCGCTACTGGCAGCGAGGTTCTTCGCGGTGCACGTGTCGAGCGATCAACGATAGCGGTGATAGCTTTGAGCGCACTAAGAGGCGGAATGCCGAAGCTACGGGAGCGCCGAGCGAAGGGCGTAAACACATCAGAGTAGGACACACGCCCTCGCCGCTGGGTTCTGTTCCAGGCTGCGCAGCTTGTACCGCTGGGGTGCCTACATGTCTGTCTGTCTCAGGGTGAAGACATTCACTGTTGCCCTGAATGTGCCAGCGCGTGACGCTCTGGCGCACTCGGTGCGTGACTTGGGTGGTAAAATGGCCTCTATGCATTAGCCAACTTTAGCATTAGCCAAAGCTACGCGCTCGAGCTGAGTGACATCGAATTGCGAGGACTTCAAAATGCGTTAAAAAAACGATTGAGCGGAAAAATGGCTGAGATGTCACCACTCAAGCAAAAGCGCGCGTGTGTATAAAGGCTCTCTATGTAGCGCGAGCCACGCGCTCCTCTGTTCGCATTTCATTTTTCCCCGTCAGGACCAATAAAACGGCGGAAAATGTGCGTCGTCAGAAAGTGCGCTGTCTTCGGAGGTTCGCTACCACGTTTACATCGGGGCTTGGGCTTTCGCCTTCAAGTCGTCCTAGAGATAACATACGAGACACTGGGAATTTTCCCCTGTCACAGTGCTTCTTGTAGCCCCGGATCGTCGGGCTATAAGCAGTCCGCCTGGCGTTACGTCCTGCCGCAGCCAGCGCTACGACCCCATAGAGCCAATCAAGCAGAGCCAATCAAACAGATCAGATAAACCATCCAGGCGGAAATAAAGTGCAGGATTGCGCCAGACTCACTGCGCGTGATGAGTTCAGCCGAAGGCGCGCACACTGTACTTCGTTGCAGCTTAAGTGCAGACGCAGCCGACACTACGAGCTAATGGGGCCAATGAAACAAGTTCAAAAGTGCAAGTAACTGAGCCTTTTCTGTTTATGATTGATTTAGCGATAATAAAAGGCGCACATAATTGCAACAAAAAAAACCAGAATGATGGGCCGTTTTTGACAGTCTCTGATTGGTCCCATCAGCTCGTCGCGTCGGCTGCGTCTGCACTTAAGCTGCAACCAAGCATAGGTCCGCCATGAAGAAGCGCTTTTGCTGGATTGGCTCAATCGGATCAAAACGTTGACTGAGGTTGGACTTAACGCGAAACGGGATTTGAGCCAGGAGGAGGCGAGGACCCACCCTTGAGCCAGGCGATGCTCCGAATGGGGTGTCCGGCGACGGGGCAGTGGAGGGTGACGGGGCGTCCCGCCAGCGCCGTCACGTTGCCCATGGGCCGCACCAGGGGTCGTCCGAGCACGTTCAGGCGGGCCGAGTGCTGCGCCGCGCCCACGCCGTTGCGCGCCACGCACGCGTACCGGCCGCCGTCCTCCACGCGTACGGAGGTCAGGTTCACGTAACTGTGCACAATCCTAGAGACGGATCAACGAGAAAAAAGATTAGCTTCAAACCGGAGCGGCACGCATTCTGTCGTCGTTTGCATTAACGTCAACGATACGGAAGCTATTGACGACGAGACGCTTCGGTGGCATCCTCTTGTGGTTTGCATCTCTGACGTCACAAACAGCATAACTAAATACGCGAGAAACTTTGATTATAACTGTAAAAAGCGCGGCGGCAGCTCGTAGTACTTGTTTCCTTAAACCAACACTGTCAAAGTGAGAGAGTGATCTTTTTCATGAATGAAAGTAGAACATATAATCCTCGAGACATCGAATGATCTCTTGGTCAATCCTGGCTGGGCGAACGAAGCGACGCTCTCGGTGGCGCACGTCGCAAAAGGCAAAACCTCAAAATCATAAAAAGTGGTTCCACGAGTGCTCATGCCGTGGGAGTGTTTGATATAGATGGGGGCCGCACGCCAGAAACGTTCCCGTCCAGGCCACACATGCGCTTAAAATTCCGTTTTGAATGCAGCCAACTTTTTTATTCTTCATTTTTTTTCTCCCTTTTGTTCCCCGACTCTCGAGTGACTTCCATCCGAGTGAGCGGCCAATCCGCTCACGATTCCAACGACGCACGTCCCACCTGGCATTTGCTCAGTTGCAGATGCCTTAACTGTATAAACCTCAACACTGGGAATCTTGAAGTTGGAACATTGCAACCGAGCTACCAGGTATTGGGTCGGCGTTTGTAGATTTTATATGATTGAGTGTGTAGATAACAGCTCAAAAAGAACACGATGGCAGTCCTGACAAATATAAAGAAAACAAAACAAAAACAAAAAAGTGGATGCATTTTAAGGGTCATGAAATTGCGACCTCTATTATTGAGACTTTTTCTGCGGCTGTGAGACTTGCAGTACACTGTTAGCAAAAATAACACGCCCAGACGTGTAAACCGTTGTCCCATAGCGGACACGTCGAAACGTGTTCGTTTTACACGAGGCCATTTGTTTTTTTCGTCTACACATGAGGTGCTGTGTAAACTTAACACGCTACACCGTGTCTGCCTTTCGCAAAACCGTTTCGAGCGTGTTCCTTATGAAACATGGCGGCCAGCGGCCGAGAACAGGCGAGAGACGAGCCCAGCGAGCCGCGCGCCTTTCAGCTGAATTGAAAGCACACAGGGCGCGTTAGTTCTCGTTCGATGTCTTTTGTACACAGTAAAGTCTCCAAGCGGCGGACGTAGCTACTTGCAAAGGTACGTACGTGCGTTGTCGGCGGTCGGCGGCGTCAATAGCTTCAACAAACCGCTAGACAAAAAAAAAAAAAAAAGCGAATGCCGAACTTACATGGATAAATAACTTGAGCAAACTATTTAGAATCAGGCGGTAACCTGCGCCACCTATCGAGATTTCTAGCAGCCTGTTTTTTAAAAAAAAAAAGACAAGTCTGTTAACACTGCGAACGACCACGACTACACAGCAACCCTACATACAACGCAGGCAACACAGCACACAGCTACACAGCACCGACATGTACACAAACACAACAACCGACGCTACGCCCGGCACTTCCTACTCGATATCCATTTCTCCCCGCGGCGCATATAAGCTTGACATGTGCGGGTGAGCTCTTTGGTCGCTGACCATTACAGATTTATAGAAGAACACACAAAACACGGCGCAATGGACAGCCGTGTGTTAGAACTGTTTGCATTTAAAAAGTATGAAGGCAAAATCTATAATGTTAGTCCGTTGCAATAAATAACGATATGTTAACAACAAATCTTAAACCGGTCATGAAAAAGTTCAAATTTTTGTTATTTTCTTGCTTGACCAGTGTTATGAGCAGTCCGACTAGCTTGAATCAGATAGGAAAACAAATTATTGGGATTTTGTCATTACGTATACAAAAAATAAATGAAAATGATCCTTGCGCAAAGCATTTTTTATATATTTTTGTGAAGGACATCCGGACATCCGCCCAACACTTCACTTCCGCTAGTTGCAGCAGTTGCAGTACGGTAGCAGACGCCTTCACTTTTGGGGCGTTTTGATGCAGTTCGTTGTCGTATGTCGTGTCGGTGTCGAGAAGAGCGGTGGGGCTTGGGAGTTTGTGACCGGTGTGATTCGTGAACACTGGTGTGGGGCGCTGATGCGTCTTTTTTTTATACTGCCACCACCCCGAACTTTGAAGATACACGGGCCCGTAGCAGTGCATTATGCTGAATCGCGAGCTCCTTCTCTGTTGACTTCGCTTTCCTGGTACCACTCGTGGATACTGCAAGCGTTTAAACAGTGTGCACCGTCTCGCCTACATCCCCGGTGACGTACTCGACCTGTTGAAACTTATTGCTTCCGTCATTTTAGAGTGCGCAAGGCAGTTATCTCGTTGGTCTGGTTTCGGTTATAAAAGCAAGGCAAAACGCTCGTAGTTCCCGCCCTCAGTACACGTTGGACATCTTCCACACTTTGACACCGGATAACTGAATGAACGAGGATTTACATTCCCTTCCAAGGTTACTTTCGCCGCTTCCTCACCGTTGAGCAGCAGGATGAGCTGGCGACAAGCCGCGGATGAAAGGCTTGAGCATCAACAACCCAAGCGCACTCGGTGCCGATGCGGGCGACGCGGGTTTCTGTCAACCGGGAGGCCAGCACAAACCGTGACCATTCCAGCTCTTCGCCATGACACGGTGTTGCAGAGAGCAGGGTAATATTCAGCTACACGGATCACCGAAGCAAACGACTGCTATCTTAAATCTTGGCTTGTGATTGCGCCTTTGTAGTAGATCATCTTATTCGTTTTGCTGGAGAGACGCAAACGACGGGCATAACAAAATCGCTTGCACATTCCGCATAACTCACAAAAGCATTTACCCTGTCACCTTGCGAAAAGCGCGAAATACGGAGTCCGCACCGTCCTAAGCTTCCCGTTTTTTACCTGCTTTAGAGCAGTTTGTACCTGCTAGTAGATATGCCTACTGAAACTGAAACAGGGCAGTGCCAGAGAGAAAGAGACAAAGTTGAGAAAGCTTGCTCGCTCTCCAATTTCTCACCTCTCAAGTGATTGTACCATAATAAATGCACCAACGCGTCTTCCAAAATAAAGAAAGAGCACTACGTTCACAACATAAAAAATGGTCTCAGTACATGCATCTGTGGGCAGGTAGGAAGCCTTGCCCTAATTTATTCACGCCGCATGATTGGCGCAACCAACTCGTTGCAGGACCGAATCATCTACTCGAGCGGTGTGCGTCGCTATGCAAACGCAGTCCAACACGAAGCATAAAAAACGGCAGATTTAAGACGACAATCCGGAGTCCATTATTCAATTAAAACAACGGAATTTTGTTGAAAACGCCCGCTGCTTCTTACTCACGGTATGTGTCGGGATACTTCCACAGTTTGAAACGGAACGGAGGAAGATTTACTTTTAAAAACGCTCGCTGCGTCCTCCCGGACCAGCTGGACCGGATCAGCTGACGACGACGGGACTGTACCCGTTGAACCTCCACCACGCAACAAACAATTTGCGCTCCGTGTTAAAAGCGTGGTTCAAACAGACCCGGAATACAAAGCACCGCACCACACACGACGAATGTTTCAGCTCTTTTTCGCATCGCCGGGTTGCACCAAACAGAACGAGATCGCCGAAGTCAACGCCGCGCTGTCGTGAACCTTGGCTTGTGGTTGCGAACTCGTGGACCCTGTGACTCCCTTCGCTTTCAAAGCACACACGACGATTACGAATGCTACTTTCCGTCTTCCAGGAACATCACAGGGGCACTTCTCCGGTCACGTCTTCACTATGTGCTCGCAAACTCCGAAGCTCTATGCGAAGCTTCTCGCGTCCCGTCAAACCAAAACAGTAGCGGCGCCATGCGTACTTGCCAGATTTTCTCCGGTCAAACAAAAACAACGAAAGCCAACCGGAGCTTGCTTCCAGCGTACATCGGCGTTGCGCTTGCGCCGTGGCCAGATCGCTTGCAGTTGAAGGTTGAAGCAAAAACGAAACCAACTGCAATGTCACGTGTTCACATCGAGGACACGCTTTTTATATCCATTTTAACTGTTTGGAACGAATAATTAGACCCATAACTTTATTTGTGGTGTCTAAGAAACTGTTATCAGGACCCCTAAACTAAATACAAACATGGGCGACATGAGGGAAGCCGCATTGCCATCGACCAGAAGATGGCGGCGAGAAACGGTAAGCGTGGGTTTCGCCAACGTCCTGCGACATGGCGCAATTGCTTTTGGTGCATATCTGTCTCCGAGACATGTGTCTTTCCGCGGCATTTGTCTCGACGGTCCTTTCTAAGTGTGTCCCCAAGCATTCCGGTGCTTCGATAGCCGGCAATGCCGCGGTCGTCGCCGGGGGCGATGCGTGTTATCGAGGTCGGCTACACGGTTATGCGTGTAGGAGCGAACCAAAACACGTTTTTTACAACCTCGCATGATTTCTGAACGAATTATCCGTTACTCATCGTGTAAATTTATGGTAATTTGTGTAAATAGCGTGTTTTTTACCCCAAATATTCGCCAAATACACGGGACTTGCTAACAGTGTAGGCTCGGCCCAGATAGCACAGCTCTTTGAAACAAGAGTTGCTTTCTGTCTGGAAATTGAGGGCCTTAAAAAACCCGAAGAAAAGGTACAGCCAAGTTTGACCTTCTTTGGCCAGAATTTGAGTACCCGGTCCTAATTAGCTATAGAAGTAACACATTTACATTTCACTTCTGGTTGTTCGTTCTTTATGTCGTAACCTTGTGGAAAAATTGCCGAGCAAGTTCCAGATTTAGGTTTCACCGCCGGTTCTTCGATACAGCTGGCTGTTTGTTTTATCTTTGGCTGAAGTCTGAACTTTGGCAATACTGTGGCGAGCCAGAGAAAAGCCATAAAAGCACCAAAGAAAAATACACCAGTATTACCTGATGCCTTCGAGAAAAACTGTATGAGGCCTAAGTGTGGTCCCTAAAATATCCAAGCTTGTGAAAGGTTAAGTATTAACCGCATGTAAGCAATTTTGTGAGCGACAAGACAAGCGGAGGTGACCCGCTTCGCTGTCGCTCGGCCAGTCGCGCGACGAGGCAAACCCCATGAAAGCGACGGGAGCAATCGACCAAGGTGACGAGCGACGTTTTCTAGAAATCCAAAAACCGATTGGCGTGAAGAGCGAGAGTAGGAAATCTCCGTCGCTCGTCGCTGACCCTCGTTGCTTGTTGCCGTCGCTCGCCTCGTCGCTCGCGAAATCGCTTACCTGCGGTTAAGCCTTTAGCCGTTTCTCTTTCGGGCTTGCACTCTTCGATCTTAACCTTGTTGAGACTGACCTCTCGTTGCTGACGTAGTCCCCGATGCGGATGTGGTACACCTCAGGCACCGCACCTCCATCCAGCGTCCATGTGACTTGGGGCAGCGGGTTCCCCGAGGCGGAGCACTTGAGGGACATCGAGGTACCCGGTCGCACCTCTTGCTCCGAGAACACTTGCTCTAGCACGGGAGCGTCCTCTGCTCGAAAAAAGAAATAGAAAAGAAAAAGATAAGGTAAGACCTAGCCTGATGAAACTCACGTGATCTGTATTTCGGGGTGGTCTTACTGTGTCAACGTCAGAAAGGGGAATCGTTCAATTGTTCGACAGCGAGACATTTCCGGCCAAAATAGTTATCTTGAAATGACTCAAACACTAGTATTCCCTGATGTGTTTCCCTCTACAAGAAGAAAAACGTGAAGAGTCTTGTTTTGTTTTTGATCAATCATTGTCGTGCTCAGTGACCCGTAACCAGCAATTTCGGAGAGTGTTTTCAATCACCGGCTCGGCGGCTTCTTTGGAAGCAGTTCGAAAAAAAATAACAGCCGGTGTTTCCAATCAAACTTTGTGATACACGCAAAATACAGCATTCACTTTGTTATATTTGACTAAGCGTTTTGCGCAGGAGAAATTACGGCGTGATTTATATACAACACGTAAGGATAGAAGACGACATTGTATAGAAACTACGCGTCGTGGCATTTCTTTATTATACGAATGAGGTAGTAGCACGTCATACCAAATGCTACCACCCACGTTCATGAATTGTATGCGAAACCGCAATGCCGGGAGTTTAGTTAACTGGTCTTCATCTATGCATGAAAATGTGTACGACCACGGTAAAGCTTTCTGTGCCAACAGCATGTGTATCAGGTATATTTGGACAAACCGTTTTGACGCAGTATTATGCGGAAGATTTTTTAGATACTACTATCGCTCCCGGAAAAAACAAAATCCCTAAGTGTTCACTCGCGCAACATGTCTATACCCGTTTTCACCTTAATAACTGTAGTAAAAAAGTACGGCTCCTCGTGTAGCATAACTTCTCTTTTAGCCTGCTAAAAGAGAAATTTCTCTTTTTCCTTTTTCCTGCTAAAGAGCACACGGACTCTTTAGCAGAACCCCAAAAGTTAAATAAAAGAAAAATTCCATATAAGCCTATTTATTAATTTATTTAAATTTCAACTCAATCATTACACGTATTATTATGATATATTATATTCACACATATAAATTCCTTTATAAGCCTATTTTTCATTTATAATTGTATGAATGCGACATCTGTCGTTTAGATTGACTTATTGATTGATTGACAATCTACCCAATTATTTTTTTTTTGCTACAGTACCCCGACTGCCCAAGAAATATGAAATAGCTCAGTGTTAAAAAATCAGAAGAAAGTATACAAACACTATACAAGAGACACACTAACCAAATACAAAAATTGACACCAAAAGCACAAGCTTGAAACAAATAAGAAAATTACGGCAGAAAATAAACATAAAAGTTATTAAGGCAGTTTAAGTTCCCCCTGTTTCAACATTCCCAAAACAAATGGGAAGGGAAGGGGGCGAGGGGGGGAAGGGGTGGGGGAGGGGGCAAGGTTTAGAAAGTATCTAGCGCAAGGCGCGGAAGCTTTGCGTGGAAACAAACACCCGGGAACCTCAGTTTCCGGCCACGACAGCACTTAAATGAACGACCTCTTAAACAAAACGAACTAGACCAAGAGCCTCGTCAACTTGCAAAACTAGAGCACGTTTTCCTGATCCTGAACGTGCATCACGCCGCGTCGCGAGTCTCGTTTTAATAATGCGTTTTTTGAAGGCGGCAGCGGCGCCTTAGTGTCAGCCTTCCGCCAAAAACTTGCCTCCAGACATTGTGTCACCGAAACTTAGCGCTAAACTCTTCCTAATTTGTTTCGCTTATCGTTGCACGCCGCACAAGGCAGAAGAGTACGGCCGAGTTACCGTGCACTGATCAATGTTGTCGGGGAGCGCAGATTTGTTTCCTAAAAACAAAAACAAAAAAGCATCGTATTTTTTGTTGTTTTGTTTTGTAAAACGTAATGTTGCTTTGAGTACCAACAAAGCTTTCTGGTGAGTTCAAGTGTGTGATTGAAGCTTACCGAAAAGTAAGAAATAGGAATGACTAAGAATCTTTTGTGTACAACTTTACGCATAAGTTTATATGCAGATTTTTGTGTTCCGCAAGTATACAGGTATCGAAAATGGGCCTAATAGAAAAGTGTGGATTTTTATATCACCGTAAAAAACAAAAAGCTACAGCATCTTGCCACATGAAAAAAAAATTTCAGTGGCGCGAAAGCTTTAAAATCTATTTGCGAAATTATTTTTTATATCGTTTTGCGTGAACTTATTTTAAGACTACCTTATGTTTCAGTAATAAAGGCACCATAGATATTTATCCTGTTAATTTTGCTGAGACAATTAAAAAAATGGATTTCTATAAAACATGCAGATCAGGCGAGTTGTCCAGGTTAAACAAATGCGACGCTATGGCGACCACTGGAAGAAACCGATTAGCGTTCATTTGACCCAAAACTGTTAATAGTTGCATATTCCACATGTATCTACAAAAAAGATATATTCGCAATAATATTATTACTTACTCAAACTCGCTGAAAGGCAAGCGAACATGCGGCAGTTTAACTATAAAATATTTTTTAGACCTCTTAAATCCCCTTGAAGTACGCATTCCCAGAGAACGAAGCTTTGCGGTCATCGGTTGTCAGCGGTGAAATAAACTTTGTTTGTGCATTGGAACCAGTTTATCAAAATACTCTTTTAGCTTACGTTTACCGGTGCTGTTTCATCAAATATCAAATAGTCATCTCCTTAAAGTCGGTCCGTCCCACAGACCGCAGAACAACGGGCACTGGTCCCACGCAGATCAACCAGACCTCGTTAGCATCCCCTTCTTTTTACACTCAAGCTTCAAGAACAGGCCACGTAACATCAAACATCTACACGATACCCCAAAAAAGTGACTAAATACCGTAACTCGTTAATGCCTTAAAAAGTAACTAAATACGTTACTCTTTACCGATGTTCAAAAAACGCGTGTTACTTTTCTCGTTACTTTGACTACCAAATACACAACTGCATGCCTTTGTTTCGTGGTTTATCGTTTTCTTTTCAGTAGTCGTTGCACTCAAGCAGCGGCTGCCTCTTGACGTGTTCACCAGTTATGTCTCCTTGATTCATTGACAATTCATCTCCGTCGACGCTGATGTGTCGTCCTAAGGCCACGCTCAAAGGAACGGCAGTGTTGTGCTTCAGCAAGAGCCGGTAAATTCCCCTCTTTCGTCTGTTCTATTTGCTTAGAAAGTTCAAAGTGGACAATGAGTTCTGTGCCTTCCCGCGTTGGCAACCTCCGGGTTTACATTCGGTTCGTACACGATTCTAGGAGGTTCAACCAACGAACCTTATTGTGTTCTCTTGGTGAAGGACATTCCCAGCTGTAGAGTTCGACTGACGCGTTCAGCGATAAACGCCGCTATACTGTCCTACTGTTTCGTTGTATTTCGGGTTGCCCGTCTGCCTTTGTCGCAATAGACGCATACTCAAATTAGAAATAAAATGGGGCCGTTCGAACGTTGCTGTACCCGTTACACCTCAAAAGTAACGAAATACCGTTACTCGTTAATTGCCCTAAAACGTAACTGAGTACGTTACTCGTTTCTTTTCTAAAAAAGTAACGAAATGCGTTACGCGGTACCGTAACTCCTTACCAGCAACGCGTCACGTGCAAGTATATCATGTTTGGAAATAAATGCTACAAATAAAAAGTTATCGGGTCGCTACGAAACTGATTTTGCTTTGCTGGCAGACAGAAATTTGTATTTTAGTGCTTGAGGGATGACTCTTTTTAATATTAGTTTCGACATCGGCAAAACGCAATACACTTGAAGTTTGAGAAGTGTTCAACTTTATCAAGCAAAACGCATTCTTTGTAAAGTATAAAGAGCTGTTTTTCGATTTGGATAATCGGATACAACAATATCCCTCGAGTTTGCATACTTCACAAAACAGACGCGACCTGACGAAGCAGAGAAATTCTTTTACGCGCAAAGCGCACCACTAAGACAGAAGGGAGTAGACTAATTGTATATTACGCATAGTTTATTTATGTAATTAATAGTAGTGCAATTACTTGCGAAACAAAGTACCACAATGTACTTCTTTGTATCGCAAAAGTGACGCATAACTTTACTTGTAGAGATTTTCTTTTGTACTAAACTGTTTGACTGAAAGCATGTTTCTGCTCAACTATTTTAGGCACCTGTGTTGCTCCTGTTGGTTGATACGAGAAAATCTTAAAAAGAAAAGAAAGAAGGCGAGAGGTAGCAGCCTACCTCCGATGACCAGTTGCGCCGTCCCCTGGGCTGAGTCCCTTTGGTTGAAGGCCAGACACTGGTACATGCCCCTGTCGTCGCGCTGCACGGAAGACACCTGGAGCAGGTCCCTGGAGAGTAGCGTGAACCGCGGATCGCCCTTGGCCAGGGGGCGGCCATTAAGTGTCCACTGGACGCCGTGCACAGGGTGGCCCGCTACGCGGCAGCTCAGGTTGGCAGTCCTGCCCACGTCCACGGTCTGTACCGAGGGCTCCAGGTGTGCCGAGAGGGGCACTGCATCCATGATGAATCGTTTATTTATTAAGTTTAACGGAAGAAACGTCCTTCGGTAGATTTAGCGGGGTACTACGACCCTATGCTACGCACACCCTGGGATCCGCTCGCAAACTTCACCAGCAACGGATGCCACCGGAAAATAAATATGTTTATTAGACGTCTGGTTTAAAACACTACATCGGCTGTCTTAAAGGTTTATACACAGCTTGACTCCAGTATTTTTTTTTCTTTGTTGTACAATTGCAGGAGTGCCGACTGCCCGGTACGGCTCGAGCACGAACCTGCAAACTTTCTTTAAGGTACGTTGTTGGGCTAGTTGGTTCATCTTAGTAAAACATATAAAATAGCGCAACAGAAACAAGGACAAGAAGTAAACAGGACAGGCGCTAGCACCTGTCCTGTTTACTTCTTGTCCTTGTTTAGCGCCTGTCCTGTTTACTTCTTGTCCTTGTTTCTGTTGCGCTATTTTATATGTTTTACTGCAAACTTTCAAACACGCTTAATACAAACTTCAAATTAGCGTTCCTAAATTTCTCTACTAGGTATTTTAAGAAATCTGTCTACAACAAAAAGACGATTGAGAAAATCTTAAGAATATTTTGAATTTATATATGACCTCTCCTTTTCTTCTAGCAGATTCACGAATATTCGAAGCACGCTCGCCAGGACTCCGAGTTTATTAAAATGATTTATTTTCACCTAAAAATAAAACCCCCAAGGGCTATTTTCTGACTCACCGGTGACCACCAGGTCCGTGTCGGCCCTGTCCTCTCCGGCCGAGTTGTTGACGACGCAGGCGTACTTCCCTTCGTCCTGGGTCCTGGCCCCGTGCAGGACCAGGGCTCCCTCGAGGAGGGTGAGCCGCTCCGAAGGCACCACGGGGATCGAGGACCTCCGCAGTCCTTTCGTAGGGTTCCCCAGACCCGTACTGGAAGAGGAAGACGCTGGGCCGTGCAGCCGGTACCAGGTCTGCGTGGGCGGCGGGTTGCCCTGAGCCAAGCAGGGCAGGAACGCCTGGTCGCCCTGCTCCACCTGGACGACGCTGCGGTACTCGGCCATGCGGGGCGGAGTCTGCGTGTGGGGCTCTGTGGTAGTTGGAAATAAAATATTTTTAGAGAAGGACAGCGGAAGGTTTTCAGAAATTGCGGTTCACTCTTAATCTGTCTGATAGCAACACGATATCTGTGTTTACTGAGAGAATGATAACGGCAGGCTGACTCTTTCCAACGCCAGATCTCCATCACTATGCCTGGCGCCGTGCTTTCACTGTGCTCGTGCGCTCGAGGCCCATGAGATGCGATTCTCAAAGGTCGGAAGCTCGCGCTGGAGGCGAGACAAGTGAAGCTCCTCCCGGCTCACATTGTGATTGACCAGAGGAGCATGCAGACAAATAACCTGATCGATATTTCTTTCTTTCTGTTATCCTACTAAAGCCTAAACGTTTGCGTCAGGCATATCTTTAATCTAGCAAACTCGCCCTTCATATTGCTGTATTAACTGAACTGCATTCTTGCACCTCTCGAATCAAGTAATTTTGTCACGTGGCATAATTGTAACCAGAAACACATCCTCTCCAACTGAAGGCTGCGGATTTTTAGGACAGCATTATGCGACCAGGTCCCTACTAGAAAATTCTCTAAGCCCTCAAAAGTATAGAATGAGCCTCTTACAACATTGGGGATATCAACGTATTTTCATTATACAATATAAAGCAACCTCTTACAGTAATACCTAACTCAAAATGCATATCCTCATCCTTACAAGGTTCTGGAGTATATGAAGGTTTTATGTGTATCTTGGACAATGTTACTACTTAGACAGTCTCAACACCACTAAGTTCTATCAGTTTCAAAGAAAGAAACAAAAGTAGCAGCACGCAAGATTGAGTAGTACAGCTAGGACTACCGTCGGACGTATACTCGACTTCGGAAGTTCATCTTAAGAGGCCACTTGTCAGTCAAAGCTACTCCAAGTGGAATCCACAAGCACCGCCTATCGCGAAACGCTTCGAGAATTTCTGTTCTTTCTTAACAATTTCCTTACTTTACCGGTTTCTCTCGAAAATGTATTCGGGGCGCATATGGATGCTCATGCGAGCGGCTGATACGGGGATGGAACACTCGAACGAAATGTAAAAAAAAGACGAAAGCGCATTACAGAAGCGGCGAGCTCGTCGGTGGTCGAAGTAAACACCGGCTCAAAAGATTATTACATCTCTCGAAGACCTAGAAAGAAAGTTCTTCCCAAAAAAGGCAATATACAGCCACGCTTGGGGTGTCTGGCGCCTTATTATAGCCTTCCTTCTTCGCCTACCTCTTGTACTATCAACGCACAAAGAACAACAGCAGTTTCGGAGTGCATGCGATGAGAAAGTGGGGAAAGATAGGCAGTAGCGGTGCGCCATAATGAGGCAAAAAAAAATGCTTTTCTTTTTGTTTCACCAGCCAAGGTGCGCGCTCTAATTTTAATACGTTTGGAACGTAAGCGGGCAAGGTTGAATACAAAGAACAGATTTGAAACTTGACAACGAATGTTTACAGGGAGTTATACTTTTTTTTTTATATGAGAAGGCATCTGTGGAGTCTCAATGTGAAACTTACAAAATAAAATAGAGCGAAAAAAAAACAGAGACCCAAAAAACAAGACAGGCGCAGGCACAGCGTTGACTTTCATCTTAAAGTTTGTTCTAGCGAAGTGATAAAAAACAGGAAAAAAATGAAAATAAAATAGAAAACAAAATAGTCGGTAAAAATATTTGTACCGCGCCATATCACCTTCATAGAAATCTGCTACATTTTTTTTATAAAGCCTATTCTGTCCCTCCCCAGCGATATTGCTGATTAGCTAACGCACATTTTATCTTCACAAGAGGGAAGAAAAAACTAATAGCTTTATAGTTTTGTTCTCGGTCTTGTATCTGCTCCGCACCAAGATATTTATCTTAGTGATTGGAGAGGTTGCAGCTGCATTTACTGCAGTGCACCGCAAGATGACCTGCGGCAGAGGAGCGCAGCCAAAGGGAATGCTCCCTCATACTTGCGTTGACACATCTCCCTTACTGTCCAATTTATACTCTGGCTCCAGCGAGAGGAACCTGTTACAAAACACCCATAGAACATGGGACAAAGGGTGTGCGGTGGCTCATATCACAATTAAATGTCCGACCGAGAGGACATTTAAACACAATGTCCTGTCGGACATTGTGTTTAAATAAATGGGAAAGTGTGTTATTGTATGGTATATCTATTCTTGTTCAAAAGGTTCTAATTCTGTATAATGCAGAAAATGGCTCTGTGTATGCTTTTTCTTGTTGTCATATTGCTTCTTGATAACCGCATTTCGCTTTTAGAAGGTGTTGTATTTTGTAGAATATTATGAACAGAAGCAGTGTGTATGTTTTTCTTGTGTCTGCGCTTGTGTGCGACCTTTTTCTTTTTTCTTTTTTTTTGTTGTAAATATTGGTATTTTGAATTTGGTAGTTCAGTAAATATTTTTTAGCGTGTTTTATTATTTTCTTTTTTTTTAATTATTCCTCCTGCTAATCTCCAAACGGGCCCCAGACCTCGTCAAGCTGCCTTTGGCAGCTTTTGTATGGAGCACCGTTGGCTATAAGGCCAATAATAAAGACTAATTGATTCATTGAATGATTGAAGTCTCGGGCTCTACCGTTGTTAGCGGCGGTGCAGAGCTTAGGTAACTTCCGCGGCGATGCGGCGCTGCTGTGGTTAGCTTGGAGAAAAAGGACGTGAACATAGGGAAACTCACTGAGGTCAGCCTGGACACTTGTAAACAGAATGCTCCCACATCTACGTGGCTGGTGAAGCGGACGGGCGATCGCCACTCCATTCGTACGAGCTTCATTGTTCAAGTGTTGCCCAGGCACACTAAACTTAATATAAGCTACCCACCCACCAGACAGAGCTTTTCTAGCACCGAGTACTATGTATATAATACAAAACAATAAACTTTATCCAAAACGATCGCGCACCGAGTTAAAAAAAAGTGGTCCTGTAATACTTTGCAGTGGTACAACGTGCGATACGTATTTGGGTGGGTACTTTTTTTTCATGCGTTAGCAGCCGAAAGTTTGTTTTGACGAAAACTCGGTGGTGTTGTCCGTTTGTCGGCACCGCGGAAAGAGAGAGAAGGAGGCAGAAAGGGTGGCGCGGGCGACACTCTCATTGACACAAAACGCTGACGTCAGCGCGTGTCAACCTCTCCCTTTCTCCCCGGCGCGGACGAACTGAAAGACACTGCAGGGTTTTCGTCAAAATGAGCCCTTTCGTTATCGTTAAAGACCCGAACAGCTGGTGTGGAGCCAGAGAAGATGACGCGCCGCGGCGCGGAGAAATGCGGGCGTACTCAGTTGCCGCTGTGCCGTCGCCGGTTGTTCTTCGCTTTGGATTTCCGCAAAACCGGAGCGTGGGCTGTGACCTCTGTGGGTAGTTAAAACGATGAATGTTGCTCGCTCTGCGAGTGATACGGATGGGGTTGCTTCCATGAGTAGTATGGATGTGGTTCTTAGATGACCATACCCAAGGGCTCTTACAGGCAGAGTAGAGAAAAGGGGTGAAAAAAATGATAGGAAGATTCATTGGTGGATTCTTGGGAAAGGAGTTAGCATGACCCTCATGAAACGCCACACACGTTCCCTCGTGCAAAACGCTAACACTGACCCGGTAACGAAGCCGAAAACAGACAAAAAAAAATAGAGGAAGCAAACGAGAAAGCTAAAACAGAGAGCCAAGACAGAAAAGTGAAGGGTTCAGCGTCAGCGATTCCCAAATGGGGACGTGCGTGGCGTGTTCCAAGGGTCGTGCTAACGTATTCATTATTTTTTTCAATCCTTTATTTGCAATTGTTTTTCTCCGCTGGCTTTTTCGTGGACGACCGAAGAACCAAAGGAACGGGGACGTCGGCGGAGACGGTGACAGGATTGTCGGCCTTGATTCTGCTGTTACCGCATTGTTCTGGTCGACTTGTTTGCGTTTCATACCGTGAAAAAAGCGAGTATATTAAAATAGGAATTGTTGCGTTCCGCTTTGAAAGTTCTAAAAATAGACATGCTTAATTTCTTAACGCACGTCAACATCACCTTATGCTCTTATGTACTCCCGCCCTGACCACTTCGTATCTGTAGGCACATAAACTAATTTTAGCCCACTGACCAGCATCGGCGAACCGGCGAATATGAAATACTGAAGAATCTATCCTCGCCTATTCCTCTATCTTGAACATACCACGCCGTCATCTATTCGCGACTCTAGGGAACTATAGGGGGCGCGCTGGTCAGGCAAAATGGCGGACGTAAGGAGATGGCTTTCGTCGTTCAGCACGCAGACCACCATAAATTTTTTGCACAGCAGCGTAAAATATGTGTTACATATAAAACCAAAGCCATTGTTCGACGGTAGAGACCTTATAGTTAGTGCGGAAGAATGACACGTCGGAAGCATAAAAATGAGTACTGAAAACGAGGTGTGTTTCTATGCTGCCTACGAGAACTAAGCAATGGGGAATGGCTACCTAAAGGTAGGGATTCCCCATTGCAGCACATCCACTTTTAATGCTTCTTTTCTACCCCAAATCTCCATTGATTGGAATCGCCTTCCCGCACATATAGTCTCAATAACTAACACTGTTGATTTTAAAAATTTTATTACCAACTTTGAACAGATAATGCGTAGCCCGTGTTTCTTTTTTTTTTTCTGTGTGTGTGTGTGGTTTTTTTTTGTATTTTTTGCCTCGTTCAACTATGTTACTTTTATGTTTTGACCTCCCACTCCCCTCTGTAATGCCTTCGGGCCCTGAGGGAATAATAAATGAAATGAAATGAAATGAAAGCAGCATACGATTTAGTAGACGAGGAGGACGATTCATTAAAATAGTTGGTAGTCCAGCGGTTGTTTGTCTTTTCTCTTTCTTATTCCTTGAATGTTCAGCTGGTTCCACCCGTAACGTAAAGCGATAGCAGAGGACAGACTCGAAACGACCTCTTCTCCTGAGCTTCTCGGCGTTGCCTCTACGCGGCGTCGATTTCGCTCAAGTCGCCAATAGGGCGTTGGAGTTGCGAATAGTAAGGAAA